GACATCATTGCCTTTGCAGGAGTCGGTATAGCAGAATCAATGTTTGCTTATTGGGGAACCTGGGCATGATCCGCATGTCCGCGAATTCTGATGCATGAGTTTTTCCGTTTTGCACACATTCTCAATTCCTCAAATCCGTGATGCGTGTTTCAGCACTTGACCCATTTTGAATCTCAAGAAATATGTGTCTGCATCCGCAGCCACTTTCGGTTTACAACCAATCCGACCTTTGCAATCTTGTATGCTCGATCATTTCGAAGACATGCCCATTCTCAACTTGATCTTCGGACGATCCAGCGCCGCGGCACCTTTGCCAAAGCCGATGAGCAAGAGACGGGCATCTCCGTTGAAGGAATCCCCTGCTCGTGATGAGGAAGATGAGACATCCCACTGCCCCATGGAGCAAGTCGCAGATGAGAATCCATCCGCCTCTCAGCAACCCGAGAATGTCGACATGGAGCAGGCCGATTATGATCCAGATTCCGACGACGATGATTCAGATGAAGAAGGGCATCCTCCCGCAGGAAGGCTTACGTCAAAGGCGATGCCACATCCGGAAGTTGTTCCAAAGTCACCGCCACCAGCATTGAGGCTTGTCTCCAAGGTCAAGGCAGCACCAAAGAACATCCTGGATGAAGAGACGGAATCTGACAATCATCCTGGTGATCGACCTGCACTTCCAAGGCGACCAGCGATGCGGCCAGTTCTCATTGTAACACATGGATCGGATACGGACATCAGCCTCCAGAAGGAATCCGTACACCCAGAACCTTTCGGAAACTCAAGATTCCTGAAGTTTGTGTGCGGGTACTACAAAGAATGCTCAACCATCCTCGATTTCCACTTCATCCCTGAGCATGAACGACCACATGGAGTCAAAGTATTTTGGTTGAAGGCCAGATTCAACGATTACTGGCAGCCAACACTCCAAGGTGAAGGACCTCATACGGAGAAGCAACACATGGACTTCATCAAGAAGGTCTACAGCATCTGCTGCTACACCAATGCTCAATCCGAAGTTTAAGGAACCAACATCATCCCGATGGTATGCCACAATGGCAACATTGATCTCGAGAAGACCGTCCAGAATGTCGAACAGGTTTGCAAATACTTCCACATGGATCCATCCAAGGCGAAACAGATCACCGACCTCATCCTCTGGCGAATCGAGAGAATGAGCAGATCTTTTTCCGGATGTCTTCGACATGATCCAAGGCATGGTATCCATAAGGAATGCAGACGGCAAGTGGAGATGGGTCCTGATGGATCCGTTGAGCTCTATGACGCATTGACCTGCATCACACATGCCAGGAACTTCATTGGAAATAAGCCAGGACTTCTCTTGATGGCTATGTTCCCGAGATATGGAAAATCACGTTTCGAAATAGCATTCGTGTTTCCATCCGTGGACGGGTCATATAAGGAACGCAAGGCACGGGGAGAAATTGTTCCAAGGAATCGGTGGATCGAAAAGCTCAACGCGAGATCCGCACAAGATGCACTCCGGCCCGATGGCAAGGAATTCTATGTCGATCCAGAGATGGAGTTCTACGTGAGATGCAATAGCGGACACGCACGACAAGTCGAGATCCAATCCTTTGGACGACCCCTGTACTCTGAGCAGCAGAGAGAGCCTCAATACGACGAGCCGGACTATGATCTCCCTACGGAATCCATTCCACCAAGTCCGCATCCGTCAAGATCCGAGGCGCCTCATGAAGATGAAGGCACAGCTCAGCCCAAGCACAGAATGCGAAGGCCGGCACCACCATCCATTGAAGAAGAGAGAAAAATCAAGCCGTTCGCGAAGAAGCCCATCGCATTCATGTTCCATGCAACCTATGGAAATCAGCTCCTCAGCATCATGGAGAACGGGCTCAAATCTGGGAAATCCCAGTCAAACCCTTCGGGGAGAATGCACGTCCACATGGCATGCATCGATGACGTCATTGACGACGATGAGTCAGAAGCAGCATTGACCCATGTGCCAGCAGGAAGAGATGCACTGTTGATCCTTGCATTCCTCAAGGACCAAGACTATGGCATCCGACCCTCCGAAGAGCGAACAGCGTTGACAGATCAAACCATCGAGGCAAGAAACATTGTTGCAGCATTTGAACCTGATGGCAGCCTCATGGCGAGCAACAAGTGGATCATGAAGAAGCATCTCAGTTATCAAAAATACGAGATGTACGACACCAAGATCCGTGAATTTGCCGATGCCTTCAATTATGTGAATTCCACAAGGCACAGCAAGGAAAAAGATACTTCCTCAGAGACCAAGAAGCGACGGCATTCCACCGATCAGGACGAAGCTGAAGAAGAGACCATGGAACCCTCCGGGGAAAGATCCGTCAAACCAAAGGTCACCGTGGAATATCACAATTCAGAGAACCCAGACGAGTTCATCCAGGAACTCAAGGGAATCTATCTCGAAACAGATTTGAACAAAAAGGACGCAGAGGAAGAGCTCGCGGAGACCAAGGCAAACCTACTCCGCTTCATGAGCAAGTACAACAAAGATCCAAGAAGAGCTCATCCCAAATTGACAGAGTGCGAGAGAGCCTCATTGGCACATGTCGATCCCGATGTCAATCTCGGAGAAGAATAATTCTACTTCCCTCATCGAGGAGAATGTCCCACCATGGACGAGTACAAGCAAGCACAACCAGGATCCGGCTATCCGATTAAGCTTCCACTTGGATTGAAGAAGCTTAGGTCACATGATGACCCGGAAACCATCCGAGCATATGCCGACATCCTGCAGTCGCTGATGCAGCCGACCGACCGTCCTCCTGTGGACTATCTCAAGACGCATGAGTTCACCTCATCCATAGCGATCAACATGCTTACCCTGAACCATGGAAACCTCACGAGGAATCCAAAGCTGGACAACAGGGAGGTGTACAACATGCCTGAAGGATCGACCAATCATGAAGATGATGGTGCAGAACAGTGCACACATCTTATGCCTAAAGGAAGCAGACGCATTCTTCAGTCCTAATGATGAGAAATCCAGGGAGCTCATCAAGACGTTCATCCGATTCGGGTACAAGGGCATCGTGATCAAGCAATGGTCATCCAGACCGGTCGCATGCTTTGTCCGTGGCGGACCTTCTGCAAGAGTGGAACTTCTGGCAAGACACATTTCCACCAAGAGTCAGAATTGGGGAACCACATTCGGAATGTTCAGATGTTTCTTCGGAACCGAAGGAAGTTGCACTGATCCCGAATACGAAATTCCGACCTCGGATTGCTTGGCAACTACGGGGCCATCCATGTTTACTGAATCCAAGAAAGAAGCACATTGGACCGAGATTGCCAGCACGCACCATTGTCCAAGGACATGGCCGAGACAAGGAGATTGTCGTTCTCCACATCGAGCAGAGTGATGAGTTTCGTGGCATGATCCCGCAATCATCCAACAAGTCACTCCAAGAGTATGACGACCGCCACATCACGAGGGCAGATCTCCCATTTGCTACCATTGGAGTTTTCCACATTCATCCTTCAATCAGCCATGGAGCAGCACGGGAAGATCTTCAGAATGAAATCATGCCGCTCGTGACTTTGTACCGATGCGATGCGATCACCGGAGAGGCCAACAAATCAGCGAATACCTACAGCAAACTCCAGCACGTCTTCAATCCGGCCAACGGTCTCGTGAACATCCTCATGAGAGCATATCAGAGACTGTGGAATGAAACGAAGAATTTGCCAGTCGTGGACAGAATGGAGTATGCAATGGAGACTTCGTGCACCTTGTCCGTCATCACCTGTACATGAAGTGTGGATCAGGATATGATCGAACATTCCCAGATGTGATGATGACTTTCGTATTTGGATGGGGCAAAACGAACATCCAGCAGGCTTTCCGGAAGGACGAGATGAACGGCATGGAAGATGAACAACTGGAACGATCCAACCAAGGCCATATTCGATTACCAGGTCTCATCCGCAGAGCGCTTTAAGCACGTGAACAATGACATGTTCATGAATGGCTCGCAGGACTCCGACTCGCACAGTCCCCTCATGGTTTACATCCGCAGCAAATCTGCAACCAGGCAACGCAACTCTGAGAGATACCAGGAGTACCTCAAGAAGAAACAAGCCTGGTCCAGGAGTACAAGGACTACAGCAAGCAGTGCGGAAATCAGAAGCAGTGGAAGGACTGTAGCACCTCGACCTGGAATGATTATGGAGACTATGGCAGTCAATCCGACAGCAGCCGCCGATGGTATCGTCGATCCGACTGACCATGAAGATTCATACGTTCAGCGCCACGAAATCAATTCAGATGATTGATCCTCACCGCCTACAAGACTATACAGTGAGAGATCAATAGTTTCACAATCGTCCCGCGTGTACATAGCATTGTACATCACCCTTTGATACATCTAGGTATCTCAAAAGGAAGCAGTACATAGTGTTTTCCATTTCGAAAGCCAAGACATTTCATCCGAGCAGAAAAGGGGATGAATCCGGCATTTTTAATACACATGGCTACGGCATACAGCATAGCTACGGCATACATCAAGGCTACGGCCAAAGGCCATGAAGCCAATAGTATTTCATACTTAGTGCTGGAGATCAAAAGACATTTGTGTCTGTTTTGTGTTTGGTTTTCTGAACACTTGATCTCCTGCAACATTTGGCTCAAGGCCCCTTTTGTGTAACATTGCATCATTCATGATTGCGTGACAAAAGAACCTTTGCAGGCCGCTTACAGGATTATCCACAAGACAATCCACCAGAAACAATCCATCCTCCAATCATCCGTAGTGGCATATTGGATTCTCTCCGGAATAGATCCAGGGACCAAATCAACGACCTCCACTACTACAAAGGTACCAGTTCGTTTCTGGGATAGGTACCCTGGCAGTGGGCCTCACCCCCCCCAACAAAAAACACAAAGGGGAAAAAACATTCCTAAAATAAATCCACACCCTTGTGGAAAGCAGTTCTTGACAGTTAATGTGTTGTTTGCTCACCTTGGGCAGGGCACGAGTCTCGACATTGCCATTCGGGAAGGCCAGGGTAGCTGCAAGCTTAGGTTTTGGCAGGCTGGCAAGTTTGAGCAATACTTGGTACAAGAGGAGCTTTACGTTTGCAGGTTTGATCCATTGCAGGCGGAAGCTGCAGAATCTGAGCGTCTTCAGGACAAGTTCCTGCAGGCAGCAACTGCACAGGCAGTGAGGCAGATGAGCAGATCAACAGTTGCATTTCCGCCAGAGCACTGTCCTTGCGCGGGCCAGGTCTCGAACCTGAAATTTCAGCGAGTGCAAGCACAGGCTTTTCAACACTGGCAGCACAGGCGCTTGCGGCTAAGATGTCACACCTTCCTGGCGGCGAGAGCACTTGCTAGGTGGTCAGCGCTCACTCAGCATCGGCGGCAGCTGCGTGTTTTCGAGCTGGAGTGCTGGCATCGAAGCTGCAATAGGCCATTTAGATTGTTTGTGCTGGCTTTGGCTGATGCATGGCGGTGCTTTGCAATGAAACACTGCAACAGTCATTCTTGTATGCCGCTTTCACCCACGGCTGCGGCAAGTTGTTCCAGCACTTCTCGCATCACCCTGCTTGTCTTCCTGAGTAACACATTTTCCTGGCGCTGTGTCCTTGAGCCACGCGGCCATTCCGGCCCAAGCATTGAGTGTTGTTCAGACTCCGCTCTGCGGCAACTTGTTTCATCTAGAGCAATTCAAGTTTCCTCCCAACTCGATGATGTTTCATCCGCCTCCGGGTATGTCACCCGAGCTGCAAAGCCTTTGGCTGCAGGAGGCTCTGGACCCTATGTTCCTTGAATGCCTGCCAGGACCTTCATCAGCCCCCACCAGTAAGGTGCACACGTCTAAGGCGGGCATCCTGCCCCCGCTCGTTGCGTCTTCCTCGAACATACTCAAAAACCGTCCGCCCACTCCACCCGCGTTCTCCTTTCGGTCTCGGCCTGGTAGGTTTGCGACACCGCCAGGCAATCCCCGTGTTCCTCCCTTCTTCAAATCCTCCATCTGGATCATTTTTCCGCTCCATGGACTCCACCAGACCCTCTCCCTCTGAGATCACCTGCTGCTGCTGCTTCCGCAACCTGATCTGGTAGCACAGCAGTGCAAGCATGTTGCAGCTAGCGGCCCTTTTTGTGACCGAGGGGCATCGGCAAGAGGGTCGGCCATAGTTTCACTCGTGCCGAGCATCTCAAGGCCAGCCTCCAACGCCGCTCCGTCTCAATCCCGCTGGCAGCGGCATCTCCACACATGGTGAGCAGCAAAATGTGCTCCCAACACCACTAGACCGGCTTGGGCAGGAACTCCTTGCAGTGCATCCAGCAGCCCGTGCTGCGATATCTCACGTGGAGCAACACCGCCCTTCGCTTTCCTCGACTCCACCTCCACCATGCGCTCACCCGGAAGCCTTTCAAGGCCTCGTCAAACTGAGCTGCACCACGACCCCAGGTCCCTGCTCCCGCCTCCGTTCTCAGGAATCTCCGCCCACCACTCCTCTCGGGTCAGAGGCTGGGTGCTCCAGGAGTGCTCCAGGACCCCATTTGACCGTGAAGCCCGCCTCAATGAGCATCCGCAAAGGTGTGATCGGCCCCACCAGCTCCAAAGTTAGGCGCGAAGTGGCGTGATGATGGTGTATAGGGTTGTAGACCAGCGAGCTCGCTCCACCTGCGCAGCCCGCTCCCTCACAGGGCGGGTGGCCCCACCGTGAAGGAGAGCAACCCAATATCGGTTTCGTCATTCGGGGATCTTTCCTTGGCCACGTATACTTCACCTGCAGGGCCTTGTCAAGGATTTCAAACGTCCGCTATCCTTTGAAAGAAGCTTGCAAGTCTCCCAAGTCTCCTCTTCCGATCCGGCTCTTCAAATTTTGTGCCCGTCTTGGATGCTCCTTGGTTCAGGCCGCTGCACCCTTTTGTGTTCTTCACCTTAGCTTTGAGGCCTTGAGTCCTTTGCAGTGATTTAGCACCTGTTCGTCTCCACGCCCTCCCAGGAATGCTGAAATCCGTATCCAGCTTTCGACATCCCTGCTCCGACCCCCGAGAAGCGATACGGCACTCCCGGGATCCTCTTCGCATCGAAGTTATCCTTCTGTTTGTCCTGTTACCGGCTCTGGCGGTCATCAAGCCTTGACTGGTGGTGTGGATGTGGTCCCTGATTCCTTCATAGTTCGGAGAGCGGTGGTCAGTGACAGCTCCTCAGCCTCCTGCAAGTACTCTGCGAATGGCTTCACTTGAGGGGTGTTGGGTCTGACGTTGACCTGCAACTCTTGCCGTACCAAACCTGGACAGCCTCCGTTGATCCACCCTGTAGTCTGCACCACCTGAGTCGCGGAAGCAGATATGATCCCTCGCCTGTGTACTCCGCCCACCGAAGATCAAAAGCGCACCTGGGATTGTGAAATAACCTCGCGCCAAAGAGTTATGAAGGGACGTGCCCCTGAATGGTGTTTGCTATAAAAACCCTGCAAAGCGATAAGGGCCAAAAACAAGGATACCACGGCATGGCCTAAGCGCACCTTTCCTGTGTTCTTGAGCCAGGCGGCCATTCCGGCGAATTCGTTGAGTGTTTCAGGAAATGGGGCAATTTGCCACTGCGCGCATGCAGGGCGATGACTGCTTGGCGTATTGTCCAACAACGGGAGGTCAAAGCCCCACGCTGTGTTTGGCATGCCTTGCGCAGCGCAACTTGGGCTGAGGTTACAGCACAAAGACTGCACAAAGCCACGGGAGTGCGCCTCTCGCAATTTATTTTCCAGGCAGGAACCTTCATTCGAGCCTACTTAGTCCTATGTGTGAAGTCCACGATGGCGTGTTTGAGTGCAGGTTTGGAAGACACAGTGGCAGGGCGAGCAAAAGGCTTGTAGCATTTAGACGGGTCAAAACTTTGGATGCAGTTGGGAGGAGTCGTTTCTCCTTCGGCTTTCGGATCTTTTCCTGCGGAAGCGAGGCTTGCCTTCAGCATTTGATGCATCGCGCCCATTGACTCCGAAGGATTGAAGTGTGGTGTCCAAGCCCTGCACCGGAATGCGTGAGACTCAACTTGCTTTTGCTTGGAATTCTTTAGTTCCGAGCACTCCAACTGGCGAGGTCTTTTGCCAGTCTCGCCTTCGCAAGCGGCGCAAGGATTGCCGCCCCAATTCCATAACGCCTATGTTCATGACATGTTTGGATAGATGACACCCGACACAAGTGGCACGTATGTTCGACCTGGCCCAGGTGCAGCAGTCAGTGTGGCAGGAGCAAATCCGCCTGCTGCAGGCTGTCCATTCGACAACGACAGCAAGATTTGACCTTCTGCATGAGGCTTGCTGGTCTGCCTGGGTGAGACATGCCGAGCACCGCCGTTTGATGAAGCTGTGCGCGTGGCGAGTTTGGATGCTCAAAGCATTTGGTGGCCTGGTGCTATGGGGCAGGTACCAGAGCTGGGCAGACGTGCACTGGCTGCGCACTCGGCTGGGGGCTGCTTGGCAAGCGGCCGCCTCAGCATGCTCAAGACTTCAGAGACTTTAGAGGTTCCATGACACTGGCAAATCTGCACTTCGACCAGCCCCTACCTGCCGGACGGGAGGCATGGCTGGCCTGGTACCGCAAGCGAGGGAAGGTGCAGAGCTCAGCTGAAAACCGTAAATCTTCACCAACAGTAGCTGACCGTTCTTGAACTCTGCCACTTTGGTCTGACTGTGAGGCTACAGATGGTTGATTCGTGCGAGATGCAAGGTGGTTGCCATGTGCAGCGGTCCGCAGCTGTTGGCAGCGTGGCGCTGGCTGCGTGTGCACGCAGCGGCGCATTTAAGGCCAAGCAGGCGGCGGATTTGCTACTCCAGTAAACGCTGCTCACACCCTGCCTTCCAGCAATTCCCGGCAGGTCGGGTCTTCTCCTGGGTCATTCCGACGTGCCAGGCAGGGCCGTGAGGCATTCGTTTGAATTTGCAACGTCTTGTAGCCGGAAATGCAGAGGTCGGGATGAAGCTCAGCACACAGCACGAGGGCACGCAACTGCTCCAGCCGTACCTGCTCCTTGGCGCTGGCCCCGGCCAGTTAGAACCAAATGCTGCAGGGCAGAAAGGCATGAGACTCTTGTAGCCTTTGCATTGTGCCCAGGTGGCACGCGGCTGCCACCGAGCTCCTCTTTGGATCAGCTCCCTTCAAAGCGCACCCACACCACATGAAGGCAAGATTGCCTGCCAGAGGAGTGAGGGCGCTTGCAACGTTTGCCAGGCGATGCGAGAGGGCCTTCTTGTGGTCTTTGCGAGCACCCTGCTGAAGAAGATGATGGCCGCCTGGATGTGCGAGGCGCGCGTGCTGGTAGAACAGTAGATCCGCTTGGATTGAAGTCTTGTGTGGTTCTGTGTGACTGCAGCCAAAGCAGGCCGTGCCAAATTGTTTCTGTGGCTCCAACCAAGTGAAATAGCACAACTGCACAATACACATGCGTCCTATCTTTGATGTGGTCCCTGACTTTGCGGTTGCTGGAGCAGAACAAAGCAACCAGCCAAACTGCGCTTCAGAGCCAAATGTGTTTCGTCATGCTGGGTTGATGCGTGGCACGTTTATCCAAGACCGCACGCATTTGGCAAGGTTGGCGCGATTCGAGAGATGACGCAGCGAACCAAGCTGAAGGTGAAGCATAGAAACTTAGAAGCCTGGAAGGCAAGGCATGCCGCATCAATGAGATAACTTCAGCAATCTGGATCGACTGCAGGAGCAAGCTGCAAAGCATCGACATCTGCATGAACGGTCGCTGCAGGCGGCGCAAGGGCTTAGTGCACGCGGCATTGAAGCAGATGATTCGAATGATTAGCCACCTGCATGCAGTGTTTGATTCCTTGTCTGCGTGCATATGCCCGGCACAGAGCGCCCTCGCGTGTTCCAGGTCTCGAACCTGAGATGTCAGCGAACGCAAGTACGGGCTCTTCAACACTGGCAGCACAGGTTTGCTGCAAGATGTCACCTCTTGGCCACGAGAGCACTTGCCAGGTGGGCAGCACTGACCCAGCATCGGCGGCAGCTCTGTGATTTTGACGTGGCATGCTGGCATCGAAGCTGCAGGAGGCAACTCGGTGTACAACTGTTGCTTCCGTAGCCGAGTGTTCACTTTCACTTCGCCTTCGAATGGTCCTGCCATGTCCCCGCATGCACAACGAGTTTCATTGGCAGTTCATGCCGATGCCATGTACCATGGCACCCACACACACAATATGGAGATACGGCGTGAGCGGGCAAGCGCGGGTGATGCTATGGATGAAGTGATTTCGTGCACACTTCCCCAGTTGCGTTGTCGCACCAACGGGCTACCAAGCCAGCTGCACTTGTCCAACATGTGTGACGCCAAATTTGTGCATTAGCTCAATGGAACTGTTGCATTGGACATTTTCCTTTGAGAGTTTCCCTTCGGAAGTTGTCCTTTGGAATTCTCCCAGTTCCTATTGGACGTTTTCCTTTGGAATTTCCCCATTCGCATGTTCCTGTTGGAATTTGCCCAATTTGAAGTTTTCCTTTGGACGTGTCCCTTTGGAATTTTCCCTTTGGAATTTCTCCTTTGGAGTTGTCCCTTCAGAATTGTCCCATTGGAATCGTTTCATTAAACATGTCCCATTGCACTTTTTCCGTTGAGAAATTCCCTTCTGAAGTTATCCTTTGGAGTTGTCCACGTCCCTTTGGAACTTTCCCATTGGGTTTGTCTCTGTGGAATCTTATGGTTTCTCCCATGATAATTCTCCATGTGGGAAACCATAAAATCTAAATGGCCAAAACACTGGAGATCTTAGTGAAATCTTAGCTTAAGCTCTCAAAATGTAACAAGTGCTGGCCACACACCAACCAACCAACCAACCAACCAACCAACCAACCAACCAACCAACCAACCAACCAACCAACCAACCAACCAACCAACCAACCAACCAACCAACCAACCAACCAACCAACCAACCAACCAACCAACCAACCAACCAACCAAGCTCTCAAAATCTTAGTGCATCTGAATGGAACTGTTAGCATCTTATTTAATGGGTTAACATCTAAAAATCGTAATGTGGCTTAGCACGTTAAAACCTTAGCTGCTGAAAATCTTCAAATATTTGTCGCCGAACACCTGAACATCTCAATGGATTAAACCCTCAAATGTTTGAATGGCTTAGAATGCTTAAGCTCCCCAAATCTTAACTGCTTCAAAACTTAGAATCTTAATGGAGTAAACACTTAAACTCTTGGTGGCTCAACACGTTTCAACTCTTGGTTTCTTAATTGCTTAAAATCACAAGACAGGAGTACCCTCTCATGCCGGTTTTGCAGAATCCCCATCCGGATAATGCCAGTGATGCTGGTGGTGCTGGCGATGTTGCTCTGGTGCTGCTGAGGATGCAACAACGGATCAGAGGCGAATCGAACACCCAAAGTTTTAGGAAACTGCCATGATCGCATGAAAGGGTTTTAGCTTACGAAAAGGGAACGTCTTGGAGGGTGCAGTTGCGGCCGCAGACCTGAGCCGACAGGTACGCCAGCTTCCCGAACATGTTTTTCGGGGAACGTCGCCAAATTGCCGTCCGGCACGCCCCCAAGTAAGTTAGCAAGTTAGCCAGTTTGCAAGTTGGTAGGTGCGCCAGTTAGTAAGTTAACAAGGTAGAGTGGAACTGGAGGCGACTAAGTTAGTGTGGAGGAAAGAGCAGTTAGCGCGGTAGCAGTGCTACTACTGCTGCTGCTACTACTACTACTTCTTCTGCTACTACTAGTACTACTACTAGTACTGCTACAACTGCTGCCACAGCTGCTACCGCTACTAGTATTGCTACTACTACCACTACTGCCACTTCTACACTACTAAATCTAATTATTTTCTGGGCCTGCGGTCTCTACGCGTCTTTGAAGTTATACCATGTCATGTCATGTTTTCCCCAAACAGCGAAGCATTGGGGTTCTAACTTGAGGTATAGAGAATGGGAAAGTGTGCCGGTTCCGTGTGTGTCTCCCAGTCTCTGCAATCAGATGCCAGATGTTGTGACGCCGGCTCTGGGGTCGTGTCTCCCGCTTTTTTCTCAGATGCCAGATGCTGTGACGGCTCCGGGGTCGTGTCTCCCGCTTGTCTTCCTGTGTCTCCCAGTCTCTGCCAGATGCGTCGCGGTCAGATGCCAGATGCTGTGACGCTGGCTCCGGGGTCGTGTCTCGCGCTTGTCTCCCTGTCTCGGTCAGATGCCAGTTGCTTTGCTGTGTCTCCCATTCTCTTCCTGCTGTGACGCCGGCTCCGGTCGTGTCTCCCGGCTTGTCTCTCTGTGCCGGTCAGATGCCAGATGCTGCGACGCTGGCTCCGGGGTCGTGTCTACGCTGTCTCCTAGTCTCTGCGGGTGACGTCAGATCACGCTGCTTGTCTCCCTGTACCTCCCAGTCTCTGCGGTCAGATGCCAGATGCTGTGACGCTGGCCGTTGTGTCTCTTGCTTGTCTCCCTGTGTCTGCGTCTCTGCGGTTCAGATGCTGTGACGCCTCTCCCAGTCTCTGCGTCTGCGTTCGGATGCAAGACCCAGTTGGTCGGATGCCAGATGCCGGCTCCGGGGTCTTGTCTCCCGCTTGTCTCCCTGTGTCACCTAGCCTCTGCGGTCAGATGCTGCGACGCTGGCTCCGGGGTCGTGTCTCCCGTTTCTTCTTTGCGAGTTATGGGGCTGACCTAGCTGCTTCTTCTTTTTTCGAGTTTTGGGGCTGACCTTGCTTGCTGCAAGCTGGCTGTTTTCCTGCTTACAGCCCTCAACAGGAAAAATGAATGTCCCGGGCAAAGCCAGCTGAACCTGTTCTTCTTACCCAGTTTTGAGGCTGACCTGGCTTGCTTGGCATCCAGTAGCCGGCGTTCGGCTCCCTTCGGCTCACGTGGCAGCGCAAGCGCAATTGAAAGCATCAAGCTAGACACCTTGATTCGTAAAAGTCAGCAGGAACCACTTGCAACAATGTTTCGCAACGGGAAAGGCCATGTTGCAGATTTTGCTGTTAGCCTGTGTGCAAAGGATGTGCCTCTCTCTTGGTCAAGCGCAGGTTTGCATCCTTGTGGCGCACCAGCAGGGCCCTGTCGAGCCTTTAATATGTCTATGTTTCTCGATAAACAAACAACGCTCAGACGTCCTGTAAACGCGCGTTTTTTTCGTTCTTTCCCCCAAACAAATATATAGTGACATCCGGCTGATTGCTTTTTGGAAGCCAGTGCCACACTTCTTGGTCAAGTGCAGGTTTGCATCCTTGTGGCGCATCAGCAGAACCCTGTCGAGCCTTAACTATGTACACTGGTTTCGATAGACAATTCCGGCTGATACTGAGCTGCTTTTTGGAAGCCAGTGCCGCACTTCTTGGTCAAGTGCAAGTTTGCATCCTTGTGGCGCATCAGCTGAGCTCTGTCGAGCCTTAAATGTGTCGAGAAACAATTATACTGCTATGCGGATGATTGCTTTTCTCAGGATTCTGAGCGGCTTTTTGGAAGCCAGTGCCGCACTTCTTGGAGGTTTGCATCCTTGTGGCGCATCAGCTGAACAACTACCGTGACATCCGGCTGATATACTGAGCTGCTTTGTCGAAGCCAGCGCCGCGCTTCTTGGTCAAGTGCAAGTTTGCATCCTTGTGTGGAGCATCAGCAGAGCCCTGTCGAGCCTTAAATATGTACTCTTGTTCTCGATAAACAAAAACCGTGACATCCGCCTGGTTGCTTTGCTCAGGATTCTGAGCTGTGCTGATGAGCCACAACAATCGCCGGCATGCCCGGTGACCCTGGTAATGAACCTCGCTTATATCCCTCCGACACCTTCTAAAAAAAAGTGCTTCATGGGTTGAGAGGCTTTTTGGAAGGAAGTCTTGATGATGCAGACCAAGCAGGCCCAACCCCAGACCCTGACGCTGTCAGCCACATGGCCTAAACCCTGCCTTTACGCGATGTTTTACGAGCACGGCAAGCAAAACCGTAAGCCCGAGCTGGTGATGCAGAGGTGCCGGATTTAGGCAGCGCATCACGACCAAGTGGCAAGGGTCGGCCCCTATAGTAGTTCGAAGCACGGGGCAACTTGCGCGAGGCACGTTTGCGGAAGGAAGCAGGCCCATAAGCGTGTGGCAAAAAACATCTACTAAGATGGCAGGTAGTGCACAGTAGTAACGCGCAGGCTGCGCAGACTTGAGCTCGCAAACCCTCTCCAAAGCCGGGTTTGGCGGGGGCCAGTGAAGCCTCACCAATAAGCAGGTTTCCGCAAAAACACTTATGTTTTTTCACGCTCTCCGAGGCCTTACGCCCACGCGAAAGTGTCAAAAACACAGTGTTTTGCTCATGTCTTGAGCGAAAACCATGCCCAAAACCGAGCTTAGATGGGGATCAGTACAGGCTCACTGTTAAGTTTCCACATTTTGCGAGTGTTTTCCAGTGTTTGCGCAAAACTGGCCAAGTTGCCCCCAAGAGTCTTAAACCTTTCACCAAAGAAAGTCGGCGGCACAGGGGGGCACCCCTGTGGGGAGGGGTAAACCCCTCCCCAGCGGGTGGGAGGGATCTACACACAGCCGAGGCGCGGCCGGATTTACGTTGCTGACGCACCACTGGCCGCCAGCTGCAATCTGTTCGAAGCACGGGGCAACTCATGCCAGTTGTAAGTACCTTTCCCATTGCAACGTCGCAACACACACTGACATCAACTCAACACACACACACACACTCGCTCGCTCGCTCGCTCGCTCACCACTCACTCACTCACTCACTCACTCACGCACGCACGCACTCACGCACGCACTCACTCACTCACTCACTCACTCACTCACTCACTCACTCACTCACTCACTCACTCACTCACTCACTCACTCACTCACTCACTCACTCTTATTTCGAGACACTTCGCTGTAGGCAATGCAATCTCCAAAGCCGGGTTTGGCGGGGGCCAGCGAAGCCTCACCCAGAAGCAGGTTTCCGCAACAAACTTATGTTTTTCACGCTCTCCGAGGCCTTGCGCCCACGCGAAATTGTCAAAAACAGTGTAGCCCTGCCTGCTAAGCAGGTTTCCACATTTTCCACGTTTGCGCGCGGCCTTGAATCCATACAAAACTATCGAAAACACAATGTTTTCCTGCGGTTCACCGAAAAGCCTAGCAAAAATCGAATTCGGCCGGGACCGTTGAAGCCTGCCTGCTAAGCAGGTTTCCATATTTTCCACGTTTGCGCCCGCCGAAAACCTTCAAAAACACTGTGTTTTTGCACGTTCTCGGCAAAATTGGCCCGCCTCACGTGACAATCTCCCCAGCATCCCCCGCATCACCGGCCTTATCCGCATCAATGTCCGCCATGGATGCGGACGATGCAGGTGATATGCTCAACAAATCGTCAAAAATCGCCTGAACAAATTCACAAATCCTTCGCCCCTTAGCAGTGAATGCAGCCTCCGTTCGACACGGAGTGAACGTGGAGTGAACCTGGAGTGGGGCTAGAGTGAACCTAGAGTGGGTCGGCGGCAGGGGGCGCGAGCCTTCGGTTAGAGGGAACCGAAGGCCTCCGGGGACACACGGGCTCGGAGCGCCCGGATTTAAGGGCTGCCGCCCTGTGCCGCCGACAACCAGTCATGGGCATTGCCAAGGACGTCTCACGCCCTGAGGTGATGCTAGATGATGATAAAGATGATGACTAGGATGACAACTATCATTGTAGCATCCTTGGCATCACTACCGGCTGTGATGACAACTATCATCGTAACATCTTCTGCGTCAGCAACGCTGCCAAATAAGAGATGATGATGATGACCATGATGATAATTATGATAAGGATAAGAGAATAAGAAAGAGATGATGAGGACCATCATGATGATGATGAGAAGGGTGATGATGATGATGACGATGATGCAGCCCAAAACAAAGTCTCCCACACCTCAATTTTAAAAAAATATGAGTTTGAGGTGCTCTCCCTGACAAAAAGTTAGCCAGGAAAAAGGGACAAGGATGCCACTCCCACACCTCAAATTAAAAAATATTAATTTGAGGTGCTCTCCCTGACAGAAAGCTCGCCAGGAAGAAGAGAAGGATGCCACTCCCGCACCTGAAATTAAAAAAATATTAATTTGAGATGCTTTCCCTGAGAAAAAGCTCGCTAGAAACAATGGATGACTGTCATGATAACGATCATCGTAGCACCCTCTGCATCACCAATGCTGCCTGATAAGAGATGACGACGACCATGATGATAATGGCACGGGCGTGATGATCGTTATCACCCGCGTCATGACAACTATCATCACAACACCCTATGCATCTCTACTTGTTCCTGGAAAATCATCATCATCGCATCCTTTGCATTGCCAAGAATGTCTAACGTTCCTTGTGGTTTCTATATATAACAAAATAAGATATTGGATGATGCTAGGTGATGATCAGATGATGATAAAGATGATGACAAGGATGATAACTATCATCGTAGCATCCTTAGCATCACTAGCGGCTGTGATGATAACTATCATCGCAGCACCCTCTGCATCACCAATGCTGCGTGATAAGAGATGACGACGACCATGATGATAATGGCACGGGCGTGATGATCGTAATCATCCGCGCCATGACAACTATCATCGCAACATCCTCTGCATCTCTACGTGTTCCTTGATAACTATCATCATTGCAGCCTCTGCATTGCCAAGGATGTCTAACGTCCCTTTTTGGTTTCTATATATAGTAAGATATTAGATGATGCCAGGTGATGGTCAGATGATAATAAAGATGGTGACAAGGATGATAACTATCATCGTAGCATCCTTAGCATCACTAACGGCTGTGATGATATCTATCATCGCAGCATCCTCTGCATTGTGATAAGAGATGACGGCGACCATGGTGATAATGGCACGTGTAAGGTGATGATCAGATGATGATAAAGATGATGACAAGGAGGATAACTATCATCGTAGCATCCTTAGCAGCACTAGCGCCTGTGATGATAACTATCATCGCAGCATCCTCTGCATCACCAATGCTGCGTGATAACAGGTGACGACGACCATGATGATAATGGCACATGATCAGATGATGAAAGAGATGATGACAAGGATGAGAACTATCATCGTAGCATCCTTAGCATCACTAACGGCTGTGATGATATCTATCATCGTAGCATCCTCTGCATCACCAATGCTGCCTGATAGGAGACGACGACGACCATGATGATACTGTCACGGGCGTGATGATCGTTATCATCCGCGTCATGACAACTAGCATCGCAACATCCTCTGCATCTCTACGTGTTCCTTGACAACTATCATCATCGCAGCCTCTGCATTGCCAAGGCTGTCTGACGTCCCTTTTGGTTTCTATACACAATAAGATATTAGATGATGCCAGGTGATGATCAGATGATGATAAAGATGAACAAGGATGATAACTATCATCGTAGCATCCTTGGCATCACTAACGGCTGTGATGATAACTATCATCGCAGCATCCTCTGCATCACCAATGCTGCTGCCTGATAAGAGATGACGCCGACCGTGATGATAATGGCACCGGCGTGATGACCATGAGGATAATGGCACGCGCGGGCGTGATGATCGTTATCACAACATCCTCTGCATCACTGCTTGTTCCTTGATAACTATCATCATCGCATCCTTTGACAAGGATGATAACTATCATCGTAGCATCCTTGGCATCACTAACGGCTGTGATGATAACTATCAGCCTGACATCTTCTGCATCAGCAACGCTGCCGAACAAGAGATGATGATGACCATGATGATAATGATGATAAGGATAAGAGAATATGAAGAGGATGATGATGATGATGATGACGATGACTGTGGTGATAACAGTCATCGTAGCTGATGATGCTGATGAGGATGATGTCATCCTAACATCTTCTGCTGCGGCAACGCTGCCGAAGAAGAGATGATGATGACCATGCTGATAATGATGATAAGGATAAGAGAATAAGAAAGAGATGATGATAAGGATGATGATGATGACGATGACTGTGAGGATATGATGATGCTGATGAGGATGAACTTTGGTTATACGTATGCGCCAACCACCCTTCCCGCGCGCCTCCCCTTTTCAGAGAAAGGGTCGGCGGATTACTGCTACTGCTAAGCTATTGCTGCCACTGCTGCTGGTGCTGCTGCTGCTGCTGCCACTACGACTACTACTACTACTACTACTATTACTACTACTACTATTACTACTACTACTACTACTACTACTATTACTACTACTACTACTACTATTGCTGGCTGCTGCTGCTGCTGCTACAACTACTAAGCAGTACGACGACAACAACAACTACTACTACTACAACTACTACTGTTGCTACTAACAGTACACTAGTTTCTTTGCACCTCCTACTACTACTACAACTACCACTGCCATCATTACTACTACAATATTACTACAATTACTACCCCTATACCACGACTTCTACTACTAGTATTACTACTGCTACCAGCTTAATTTCTTCTTGATCCCGACTTAATTTTTTATTGATTCCTCATTTGCTTGGCATGCTTCATTGCCGTTCATGACGGCCGGATGTTCTCGTCGTGCATGCGTTTCGTATTGCGTGGACGCACTACCGATGCGCCAATGCGGTCGACCTGGCTTGAGTTCCGTGCCTGCAGGGCGATGACAGCTTGGCTTGTCGTCCGACGACGAGAGGCCCAAGGCTCAGCTAGGTGTCGTAGTGATTGCCTCGTGCTACACGCGCCGTTGCCGGGCCTTTGCCTTCGCGCAACTTGTGCTGAGGCCACGGCCCGAAGCCTGCAAAAAGCAACCGGACTGCGCGTCTCGCATCTTGTCTTCCAGGCCTTGATTCGAGCCTTGAGTTCGGGCACAGCTAGCGGTGGCTCGCAGTGAGATCGTGAGTGAGCGCAGGTTTGGGTGACTCAGTGGCAGCGCGAGCGGAAGGCTCTCAAGACTCAATCGCGTAGAATGCCTTCTCAAGTAGAGCTTGCAGGAATCGGTTCTCCTCCGGCTTTCAGCACTTTTCCTGCGGAAGCGAGGCGTGCCTTGAGCCTTTGATCCGTGGTGCCCTGACTCGCAAGGATTGAAGTGTGGTGTCCACGCCCTGCACCGGAATGCGTGAGACTCAACTTGCTTTAGCTTTGACTCTGAGCGCTCTGAGCGCTCCCGCGAAGGTGTCCTGCCAGCTTCGCCTGCGCAAGCTTCGCAAGGCCAGGACGGGGAGACACAGCGCAAGGCAGTTGCAATGGCTTGGCCAGAGCGGAGTCATGAGTGTTTGTCCGGGTTTTCTCGGAAGTTGTTGCGAACGTGAGTTACATTCGGTTTTGGCTAGGCTGGCAAAAACACAGTGTTCTTAGCTTGGCAAATCTGGCAGTGTGTTTTGAAGGGGGCATGACTCCAGTGGCATGACCCGCAACGGCCACAAGAAATTATGCGTTTCAACCCTGAGGGGTGTGTGCTGTAGAGCAAGCAAAACAGCCTGCTCGACGACTGAAATCGCATGTTACCGAATGCAGCCCAAGGACCAACTTCTCAAGAACCTATGCCCTGCAAGCCTATTCTGGCAATGCACAGAGAGTTCCTGCAACATGAATACTAGCAACAAGTTCCAGCGTGATCAGTTCGTGTGACCTTTGAGATCCTTTGTGCTGGCGCGTTGGCAAGGCAAGGGCCTGCTCGCGCGACATTTGGGCGGCAAAGTGTCGAGGTATCTTTGAGGCTGTCCATTCGACAACGACACAGCAAGATTTGACCTTCTGCATGAGGCTTGCTGGTCTGCCTGGGTGAGACATGCCGAGCACCGCCGTTTGATGAAGCTGTGCGCGTGGCGAGTTCGGATGCTCAAAGCATTTGGTGGCCTGGTGCTATGGGGCAGGTACCAGAGCTGGGCAGACGTGCACTGGCTGCGCACTCGGCTGGGGGCTGCTTGGCAAGCGGCCGCCTCAGCATGCTCAAGACTTCAGAGACTTTAGAGGTTCCATGACAGTGGCAAATCTGCACTTCGACCAGCCCCTACCTGCCGAACTGGAGGCATGGCTGGCCTGGTACCGCAAGCGAGGGAAGGTGCAGAGCTCAGCTGAAAACCGTAAATCTTCACCAAGGCGTCCAACAGTAGCTGACCGTTCTTGAAATCTGCCACTTTGGTCCGAATGTGAGGCTACAGATGGTTGATTCGTGCGAGATGCAAGGTGGTTGCCATGTGCAGCGGTCCGCAGCTGTTGGCAGCGTGGCGCTGGCTGCGCGTGCACGCAGCGGCGCATTTAAGGCCAAGCAGGCGGCGGATTAGCTACTCCAGTAAGCGCTGCTCACACCCTGCCTTCCAGCAATTCCCGGCAGGTCGGGTCTTCTCCTGGGTCATTCCGACGTGCCAGGCAGGGCCGTGAGGCATTCGTTTGAATTTGCAACGTCTTGTAGCCGGAAATGCAGAGGTCGGGATGAAGCTCAGCACACAGCACGAGGGCACACAACTGCTCCAGCCGTACCTGCTCCTTGGCGCTGGCCCCGGCCAGTCAGAACCAAATGCTGCAGGGCAGAAAGGCATGAGACTCTTGTAGCCTTTGCATTGTGCCCAGGTGGCACGCGGCTGCCACCGAGCTCCTCTTTGGATCAGCTCCCTTCGAAGCGCACCCACACCACATGAAGGCAAGATTGCCTGCCAGAGGAGTGAGGGCGCTGCCTGCATAGCTCGCTTGCAACGTTTGCCAGGCGATGCGAGAGGGCCTTCTTGTGGTCTTTGCGAGCACCCTGCTGAAGAAGATGATGGCCGCCTGGATGTGCGAGGCGCGCGTGCTGGTAGGACGAAGCGCCAGTTGCCAGTGCTGTATGTCCGTTGGCCCATGTGTGCAGCTGAGGCTCGGGCGATGCGAGAGATGCTGCAGCACGCAAAGCTGAAGGCAAAGCAAAGGAGCCTTGGAGCCTGGAAGGCGGGGTGCGTCGCAAGCTCGGATTCTTTGGCAATCTATACTAATCATGCTGCTAGGAGCACAATGAGCTTGAGGAAATTTGAAAGATGTTAGGACAATCGCGCACTCATGCAACGCAGGAGAGAATTGCCAAATGCCGACGTCTCCGTTCAAAGTCACTGCAGGCCGCGCAAAGAGTTGGCTGCATCATGAGGCACTGTTTTAGGAGCGTTGAGGAATGGTAATGGAAGTTTAGAAGCGAGCGCTTTGCATTGTGTTTGGCAGCCTGCCCCACCGCGGCTCACATTGCCGTTGCGCGCATCAGGTCTCAAATCGGACACGTCAGCGAATGCAAGCGCGGGCTCTTGACCACTGGCAGCACAGGCACTTGCGGCTGCATGGTGTCCTGGCGTCCCGGGATTCTTTGAGTGGAGCACGTTCCTAACGTTTCCTAACGCTTAGCCGCTAGGTTGTCAGCATTGACTCAGCATCGGCGGCGCCTGCGTGATTTCGATGTGGAATGCTGGCATCGAAGCTGCAGGAGGCCGAGCGCCAATGCATTTCCTAAGAAATCTTTTGAGCTTCTGCATCTCGGCCCGTCAGGAAGCTCGGATATTGTCTTGCTTCTGCCATGGGTCCTTGGGGCTATCTTGGGGCTTTGGCTGTATGATGCTCCACAGCGCAAAGCTTTTCAACTACCAAGCCGCTTTTGCATTGACTCACAAGCTATGCTTGTGCGCTGCCCTTAGTTTGCATGTTTGTTCGTTCTGTTTCTTTGATTCGGACGCGGGCTCACCCTTTGCTTGGCATGCTTCGTTGTAGTTCATGACGGCCGGATGTTCTCGTCGTGCGTGCGAATGCGGTCGACCTGGCTTGAGTTCCGTGCCTGCAGGGCGATGACAGCTTGGCTTGTCGTCCGACGACGAGAGGCCCAAGGCTCAGCTAGGTGTCGTAGTGATTGCCTCGTGCTACACGCGCCGTTGCCGGGCCTTTGCCTTCGCGCAACTTGTGCTGAGGCCACGGCCCGAAGCCTGCAAAAAGCAACCGGACTGCGCGTCTCGCATCTTGTCTTCCAGGCCTTGATTCGAGCCTTGAGTTCGGGCACAGCTAGCGGTGGCTCGCAGTGAGATCGTGAGTGAGCGCAGGTTTGGGTGACTCAGTGGCAGCGCGAGCGGAAGGCTCTCAAGACTCAATCGCGTAGAATGCCTTCTCAAGTAGAGCTTGCAGGAATCGGTTCTCCTCCGGCTTTCAGCACTTTTCCTGCGGAAGCGAGGCGTGCCTTGAGCCTTTGATCCGTGGTGCCCTGACACGCAAGGATTGAAGTGTGGTGTCCACGCCCTGCACCGGAATGCGTGAGACTCAACTTGCTTTAGCTTTGACTCTGAGCGCTCTGAGCGCTCCCGCGAAGGTGTCCTGCCAGCTTCGCCTGCGCAAGCTTCGCAAGGCCAGGACGGGGAGACACAGCGCATGGCAGTTGCAATGGCTTGGCCAGAGCGGAGTCATGAGTGTTTGTCCGGGTTTTCTCGAAAGTTGTTGCGAACGTGAGTTACATTCGGTTTTGGCTAGGCTGGCAAAAACACAGTGTTCTTAGCTTGGCAAATCTGGCAGTGTGTTTTGAAGGGGGCATGACTCCAGTGGCATGACCCGCAACGGCCACAAGAAATTATGCGTTTCAACCCTGAGGGGTGTGCTGTAGAGCAAGCAAAACAGCCTGCTCGACGACTGAAATCGCATGTTACCGAATGCAGCCCAAGGACCAACTTCTCAAGAACCTATGCCCTGCAAGCCTATTCTGGCAATGCACAGAGAGTTCCTGCAGTTTGTCCGAGTTTTCGGGCTGGTAGAAAAAGTAAACGTCGGTACTTCACATCTGATCATGCAAGAAGGTGGCGTCCGACTCCGAGAAATGTCAAAGACCCCTTAGGAACAGGGGTTTCACACACAAACACAAACAAAAACAAACACTCCGAGAAATGTCAAAGACCCCTTAGGAACAGGGGTTTCACACACAAACACAAACAAAAACAAACACACACACACACACACACACACACACACACACACACACACACACACACACACACACACACACACACACACACACACACACACACACACACATTGATATGAGACGGCAACAATGCAAGAGTGCATCCCCAAGTATCTGAAAAGTGGAGTTTCGTCAGCTAGCCTTCCCGATCTGTTCGCTCGCCGCGGCTACTCGTCAGTGCCCATGACTACCGCGACGAGGTACTAAGAAAGGGGTCGGTTTGCTGGCATGGGCATACTCCAATCAAGAGAGAGAGGGGCACGACCGCAGAACCCCTTAGGAACAGGGGGGCCACACACACACCCCCCGCAGGGGGGAAAAAAAACCACAAAACGCCCGAAACTCAACACTCAGAAGAACAGCCAACTTCTGAAAGCCGCCTCCATCATGATTCCCGATGGGTGATTTGGTCCGTTTGTGGAACTCCTGCCTATGCTCAATTACTCGCGGTCATTTTGACATGTGGCATCACCGCCTAGGTTCAGGTGCATTGGTTCGAAATTGTTGCCTTCTGATGCTGTTCCTTCACCTTTCTGAGGCGCTCCAGGCTCTTCCAGCGCTGCGTGACATCCGCGATGGACCGGTTGAGCTTCTTGGCCAGCGACTTGTACGAGTACTTGGACCGGTTGTCCGCTTTCAGGCTGCAAAGCTGCTGGTCATCTTCCTCTGTCCAGGCGCGAGGTACTTCCGGGGGAGTTCCTGGGTTGCCGGCATCGGAGTGAGCACGAGCAGGAGGTTCAGGAAGGGATTCAGGAGAGGAGAACAGGCCCGCGCAAGGAGAGACCGGAGCTGGCGCTGGAGTGCGAGGTGCCGGACGTGCTGGAGGTTCCGGGGAATTCGTCTTCTCGGAGGATGTAGCGCGGCATCGCTTCCGCTTTGTTCTGCGTCGATCGGTCCCACCCTTGTCCATGATGGAACTGGGAATATTGGCCTTCTTGATGCTCAGCTGACCAGCATAGGTGTGCGCCATGGAGCTCTTCGGGCGCGGGTCTATAGCCTCGTTGGCGTCCCCCGTGATGATGCCGTAGGACAACGACTTGGGGTTGGCCACTGCGTTGTGCTTGTGGTCCACGCGTAGCTGGAGTGACTGAAAGTCGACTGGTGGTGGAGGGTCGGCCAGATCCTCCGAGTTGACCGAATTCAGAATCCCGGGGCCAGGTGGTTCCACCTCATCGAGTCCAGCATGATCGTGTGCTCGCGGTCGCGATGATTCTGCCAGCGACAGACCTCGGACATGTTGCTGCCGCACGCGATCGTGCCCGCCATGAAGCCTGCGACTGTGTGCCTCGTCAGCCTGATTCAGAGTCTCCTGGATGAGCTGCATCATGTCCGCAGCGTTCTGGGTCATCCGGTGGTGAAGTGCTATCATGCGTCCGAGCATGACGACCGCTTTCCGATGTCGGCGAGAAGGCCCACGTCTTGAACCACCAGACAAGCTCCGTGATAAACACAAGAGTCAAGGGACCCCGGAACCCAAACAGAAAAACCCGAACGCAACAGCCCAACCGAGCCCGACCCGGTTTGGAAGAAGACCGAAACAGAACAAAAACCAACAAGAGCGAGCCACACAGCCAAACATCGAAAAACAACGACAATCGGCACTTAAACGTTCTTTCCTGTTGGGATGGCCGGAAGATGAAACAGGTGCTGCAGGTCAGCTGACTTGTAGCCGGCGGACAAATAGATACTGCGAAGCTGATCCAACGCCATCTGTACTGCTCGGGCCGGGCGCGCGTACTTGGTGGCGAGGGCTGACCGTGATCTGGCCCCGGAGAGAAGGGTGGAAAGACTTCCTGCAGTGTGGGGTCCTCTGATCTGCCAGATTTTTGTTGGGGTTTTGTAGTAAATCGCACGGTCGCCCACGTCGATCACGAAGCCGAGGAACTCAGAGGAACCCACCTGTTCCAACACGATGGGTGCACCATAAAAGTCAGCTTGAAGCAAAGCCTCCAATGGGGCTGCTGGGTGACCGGAAGCCGGAGACGGGAAGATCACAAATCTGTTGTCGACATATCGCTCCAAGAAGATGTTGTGACTGGCGAACCATTGTCCGTAAATACGCTGCCAAAGAACTTCGTGCCTCGCGACGCAGATGTGACTGAGAACTGGGCTCAGCTGAGAGCCAATCGCTGTTCCGTGGACTTGGCGCAGAATGAGAGTCCCCACCTGGACATACATGCATTGGAAGCTGGATTTGACTATATCCAGGATGTCCTCCACATAAATGACCCGCGTAGTCGGTGTACGTCCGTAGGATTGCTTACCCGCAAAAACCCGGTTGTAGTGGACCGCCGCCTGAGTTTCCACCGAATAGATGAGACCAGGATGCTCTCGCCGGTGCTCTGCTAATAGCTGCTCGACTGCTGCGCACACCTGATCCTGAGGGACACTGTTGAAGAAGCCGACCAAATCGTCGTTGTGAAATGCGAGGGTGACTGTATCGTCTGTGTTGTCAAAGTATTGTTTGACGTTCTGCCATATCCTCGGCGTGGGGTGTACCCCCCACGAACGCTTCCATGTACTCGCGGCGATCTCGCCTAGGAGGATTGCAACCGCTTTAAAGAGCTGCCGATGTACCACCTTATGGTAGGCTATAATAGTCCGCCCCGATTTCCATTGCTTCTTGCGTTTGAGAAAGACTTTTCCAACCGGGATCGCGGTGGTCTTCTTCCTGTATGCCCATTTGTACCTCTTCTGCAAGTGTCGGGGGATAGCTTCAACAATAAGAGCCCCAGCTTGGTCGGGCTTCAGTGGAGTGGCGGCAAATGTGCCTGACTGAAGCCAGGTGTTGTGGAGGCCTTTGAAGTAGAGTTGGGGGCAGAAGAACATGAGGTGGTGGTTGTCATGATCCTCGTTATGGCACACAAAGTCCTGGCCGAGGTGTCGACGCAGGATGTTCAGCTGGTGCTTGGTGAGGAGTTGATCGGTGGACGCGTGCTGCCGATGTTTCTGAAATTGACTGCGTAGGTGCTGCATGAGAGGTGCGTGGAACTGGTCCAGGGGCAGGCCATGGTGCAAGCACCATTTTCGTAGGCGTTCATGAACCTGCACTTCGTAAACTGAAAGGTCCACATAATATGACGCCAGGGCTGAGGTGTAATGAACGTGCTGGGGGGTTCCCGGAAAACGGAACTCATCCAATCCCGCGGCCACATGGCCTTGAACGTGAGATAGCCAGGGCTGACGTTTTAGCCAGGCTGCGCACTGACACGATGATGGTCCGGGGGATGTCAGAAGGTAGCAGTCCTGAAACGACGAGAAGTTCCACATAACTGTATGAACCCGAGGATGAGGGGTCTCTGCCAACTTCGTGCTGGGCAAGTGAAATGGAAGAGCCCAGTTGCGGTGGTCGAGAACAAGCCGACGAAGTACTTCCCTGGTGGACCGCTGATAATGGGGATGGGACAGCCACGGTAATCGCAATAACAAGTTGATCTTGGGTTGCTGAAGTTGACGGAAATCAAGAACTCTTCGCAAAATTTCCGAACTCGATGCCGGTGGGGCTGTTCCACATTGCCGGACAGCCTGTATATAGCATATATATCCAAGTCTGAATGCCGTCCACTACGAAGTCGTTTTTCTTCCTCCCAGGATTCAATGTGCTCCGAGGTGAGGCGAGCGATGATGGACCAGGCTTGGGTGTGTTTGAGCGCCACCCGATGAAAGTTCCTGCCATAGACTGTGCAACTCCTCCTGCGCAAGCGGAGGAAAAGGCGTTTGCCGAACCTGGACCAGGGCTGTTCTGCAAGAAACCTGGTAGCCGTATAGCCGGTGGAAATGCGCTTGTACCGCCGATAAATGTAGGGCCAATTGAGGGACGGCTGATAGATGCTAATCAAGGCGTGTTCCTGGGTCCAGGTGACTGCGTGGTCGGAGTCTGTCAGGATGACCCATGTAGCAAACTCGTCATAGTTGCCGAAGTGATGCCACCATCTGAGGGCCGGCTCCGCATTGATAAACTGTCCGTGCTGAATACCCAGTAACTTGGCCCTACGATTGTGTTCTCGACTAGGATAAGTGATGCTGGTGCTTCCAATGTATACGTCCGACTGCGGGTTGACGGAGCGTGGAAGGTCCGGACGGAGTTCGACTCGCTGCTTCCAGTACACTGCGTTGGGCTGCAAGAAGTGGGTGAATGTGTACATGTTCGGGTGGATGCGCAAACGTCGGAGTCGGCGTCTGAGTTCCGTGAGTGCATGCGTGGGACGACCATAGTGATGAATCATCAACAGCGTGGACATTGACTCGGACCACATAGATAGTTGCTTGTTGACCATCGGCATGTTGAGGATTTGGCGACTCGTGACGATGATCAGATAGAGAACCTGATAATACTGGTAAGATGCATGCACATCGAGGGAGTCCCCGAGTCTGATTGCAATAAGCGCAGTGAT